TTCATTTTTATTATTTAATTTTTATTTTTATTATATATTTTTTATTTATTTAATTTATTTAATTTTTATTTTTTAAATTTACTGATTTTTCATTCACTTCATTATATTATTGTATTTTTATATGATGAATTTTCTTTGAGGTTCACCAATGGAAGATTTGCACATTGTAATAGGGATTGCACATATAGTGACCTGCGAATATGTTACGAATTTATTTTTCACAAATTTAATTTTATTCATCTAATGAGTCACGGTATATCAACTATCACTTATATATATTTTTATTTATTTACAAGCACTTTGCACTTTTGGTTCAAACTAGAGCGCGGTAATTATTTAAATGATTTGTTTAAAAAATGTTTTGTTTTTTTTTTTCTTAAAACTTGTCTCAGTATTCATAGAGCAGGCTTGCTGACATACAAACTGCCACTAGAGGGACAATCTCCAAATCTGTATGTGATATACTAGCACAGAGATATTACAGCAAGCAGATCAACTGTAAAAGTCATATTTAAATTTACACGCAGATAAAACACATGTGCTAACTGAACATACGTCATAGCTTCCCTGCAGTAATGTTACACTCTTACATTTTTGTTGACAAAAAGTAAACAGGGCAGATCTTTTAATTTCTTTCCATATATCCTGATTGATAATGAGAGATAAAAGGTCAATACGAGAGATATCTGAGAAGTGGGGGATAGCTGCTAGGACACCAAAAAGGCAACCAAATCAAACCTTCCAAAATGTCATATAGATATAGGTGCAGCGCTAAGTAAAAGACATAAAAATAATATACATTAAAACCATAAAATGATTAGTGGATGGTATAGCCGTATAAAGTGCAGTAACTCACGTCACCAATGGTGACTAATGGATAAAATGTCCCAAAATATAAAGCCCACGTGAGGATCTGATGTGATCCTTAAAATAGGTGCGTAGAGGACTTGATCCGAGGTGACAGATGATAAGAGGTGAAATAAATAGATTGCGCACTCACCAGAAGTGCATAAATAATATGCCTTTGAGATATGCCTGTCTCACCAGGTATAAATCAGGTCATCCTCACAAGACCTCCTTCTCTCTAGTTCCCTGGTCTCCTCCTCCCATGCCCGCCTCCAGGACTTCTCCAGGGTGTCACCCATCCTCTGGAACTCCCTGCCCCAACCCATCAGATTATCACCTACTCTCCTCTCCTTTAGGCGCACCCTGAAAACCCATCATTCAGGGAAGCCTACCCCACCCCCTGCTAACTTGCCGACCTCCTCCACTCTTCCTACCACTCCATCCCCCACAGCTATCTCCTCCTGTGCCACCATCCCCTCCCTCCTAGATTGTAAGCTCCAAGGAGTAGGGCCCTCAATCCCCTCATGTTTTGCATTGTATTGGTATTGTTCTGTCACATGTTCTGTCCCCCTTTGTAATGTACAGCGCTAAGCGAAATATTGGCGCTTTATAAATACTGTATAATAATATATATAATAATAATAATCTGCCTCCTCGTAATGGTCAGGATCCTGTACACCTTCAGGTCACGTCTAGAATAGGGTGCTCAGACACGTATCACCTTCCAGGGTTCCCTATGGTGCAGGTTCTGCGGATGAAGGCTCTCAGTAAAGAGAGCCCAATAGGGGACACCACATAGTGTGATACCGTAGGCTAGTTTATTAACAAAACAGGTGTGGACAGGTACAATCAATAGAAAATTGATTTCAAATAGAAAATCAATCACTTTGCATGTGATCACTGATTGGCCAATCAGCGATCACATGATCGGGACCTCGTACAGAGGTCCCGTCCGACGATCGGTGTTTCACTGTGTCTGGAGGACACAGTGGGCACCGGATCGCGGTGCTGTGCGCTCCCAGGGAGCGCACACAGCTAGAAATGGTGGCACGGCCGATGACAGATCTGAGTATCGGCCCCCGTTGCCGGTACCATGTGATCTGCTGTGACCAATCACAGCAGGTCACATGACAGTTGTATACAATGGATGGCTTCATTCATGCCATCCATTGTATACTAGTGCCTAGCTGTGAATGGTCACAGCAGGTCACATGCACATGTCATGTGATTAGCTGTGGCCAAATCACAGCTAAGCACAAAAAAAAAAAACAAAAAACTGAATGAATCGATGTCATTCAGGTAAATGCTTGCTTATAGCAAAGTAATTCTTTGCTATAAGCAAATTGTGTGTAAAAAAAAAAAAAAAAAAAAAAAAAATACTGATCACTTCCCTAAAGTAGTACAATGTTACTATGGTAACATTGTACTACTTTGGTCATAGTAAAATATGAAAAAAAAATCTTACAAAAAAATAAAAAAAATTTTTTATAACAAATTAAAAATAATAAAAAGATAAAAAAAAAAAAAAATATATATATATATATTTTTTTTTTTTTTCATACTGTCACCAGTCAGTGTCCCTGATCACCGCCATGCCAGTTATATGATGACGCTGTACTGCACTGGTGACAGTATGTAAAAAAAAATAGTGAAAATAATTTTTTTTCATTTTCCGAAAAATTATGACAAAAAAATAAAACTTCAAAAAACTTGCCATTCCTCTTATGAAGTACGTCCAACTGTCTACTCTGCAAAAAGGGGTCATTTGGGGGATATCTGTCCTGTCCTGACATTTGGGGGATATCTGTACTGTCCTGACATTTGGGGGATATCTGTACTGTCCTGACATTTGGGGGATATCTGTACTGTTCTGACATTTGGGGGATATCTGTACTGTCCTGACATTTGGGGGATATCTGTACCGTCCTGACATTTGGGGGATATCTGTACTGTCCTGACATTTGGGGGATATCTGTACCATCCTGACATTTGGGGGATATCTGTACTGTTCTGACATTTGGGGGATATCTGTACCGTCCTGACATTTGGGGGATATCTGTACTGTTCTGACATTTGGGGGATATCTGTACGTCCTGACATTTGGGGGATATCTGTACTGTCCTGACATTTGGGGGATATCTGTACTGTCCTGACATTTGGGGGATATCTGTACTGTTCTGACATTTGGGGGATATCTGTACCGTCCTGACATTTGGGGGATATCTGTACTGTCCTGACATTTGGGGGATATCTGTACCGTCCTGACATTTGGGGGATATCTGTACTGTCCTGACATTTGGGGGATATCTGTACTGTCTGACATTTGGGGGATATCTGTACGTCCTGACATTTGGGGGATATCTGTACTGTCCTGACATTTGGGGGATATCTGTACTGTCCTGACATTTGGGGGATATCTGTACTGTCTGACATTTGGGGGATATCTGTACCGTCCTGACATTTGGGGGATATCTGTACTGTCCTGACATTTGGGGGATATCTGTACTGTCCTGACATTTGGGGGATATCTGTACCGTCTGACATTCTACTGTTCTGGACCTCAAGAAATTAGATCGGCCGTCAGTACTTCAGGATTGATCAATATTCAGATCTATACCATAGTTTGTGAACTCTATAACTTTCCTATAAACTAAAAAATACATCCTAATTTGGGTTATTTTCACCAAAGACATGTAGCAGAATACATCTCGGCCTAAATTTATGAAGAAAAATTATTTATTTGCAAACTTTTATAACAGAAACAAAGAAAAATGTGTTTTTTTTTTCAAAGTTTTTGGTCTTTTTTTGTTAATTTAGCAAAAAATAAAAACCCCGGCAGTGATTAAATACCACCAAAAGAAAGCTCTAGTTGTGTGAAGAAAATGATAAAATATTAGTTTGGGTACAATGTTGTATGACCGCGCAATTGTCATTCAAAGTGTGAGAGCGCTGAAACGTGAAAAATGGCCTGGGCAGGAAGGGGGAAAATTGCCTGGTATTGAATTGGTTAAAGGGGAAGGATCCCTTTTGGTCTGCTAATTATACCACTGAATGCATTTTTGTTATAGTAAGTGCAATAAATAAATAAAAATAATAAAAAAAAAATTACTTGTTAATGCTGCCAAAACTTTTGTCAGCTGATAACTCCCTGTCTCTGCTGACTGTTATTAAGTGTTCCTGCATGGCGACCACTTCCTGTTATCTCACATATATATTCTTATTATTATAGCCAAATTTACCCCCCTAACTCCTCCCACAGTTTTTACACCACATAGACAGTAATATACGGAAACGTGCGGATTGTTCCCGATTGGTGCGCTATTACTTTGTGGAACGTTTCGCCGAATGGTTCATGAAATATCAGCGTTTTTGTGGTGAAATTGGTCCCATAGGAATGAATGGCGGAATGTACTAGAGTGTGAGCTGAACACAAGAACACTTCACCCAATTTCCCCAGAAATTGTAGCTTTTCTAGTTAGTTATATTGTTTCCAGCTGTCTCTGAGGACAACAAAACCACTCCCCTCTATGTTATGCAGCAGTTGAGAGGTACAGGTATGTGTAGTCCTTTCTTGAGGAGATATGCTTTCACCCTGTAACAGGGGCGGACTGACCATTTGAAAACTCAGGCACTGCCCGAGGGCCCGGGGTTAGTAGGGGGCCCCATGAAATGCCCCTGGTACCTTTTTATAGGTTTTTTTGGGTGTGCTTTGAGTGTGGGAAAGGACACAGGGCCCCATAATTCCCTTTTGCCCGGGGGCCCCATGAGTTTTCAGTCTGCCCCTGCCCTGTAATATGATGGGTGGCCTCACAAGCCTGAGATGATCAGGAAGTAAGAGGGACCAAACACATACTTTATATGTAAGATTTACATGTAATTTACGTTGCCTGCATCTCTGATACTACTAAATGTTTTGGTTTGTTGTTTTTACCAACTTCCCGTCCGCCCCATAGCAATAATACTGCTACAAGGCGGCACGGGTGCACAAAATCACGTATATATTCGCGGCCTCGGCTGTCAATCGGCCCGGTGATCGAGGAGCATCACCAACAGAAGGGGAGAACTGTAAGTAAACAATAGTTATCTCCCGTCAGCTCCTGCACACTGCTACACATGGCTTTGTATAGCAGAGCCATGCAAAGCTGTGTGCTTACAGTGAAGCATACAGAGAGCACGCAGTAAAACAGCGCACAGCACACAGTTAACCCTTTGATCGCCCCACATGTTAGCCCCTTCTTGCCCAGTGTCATTAGTACAGTGTTAGTGCTTTTTATTAGCACTGATCACTGTATTGGTGTCACTGGGGATGTCAGTGACACCAAGCCAGTTTCCCCCCTAGTGTCAGAATGCCCGCCGCAGTCCCGCTATAAGTCGCTGATCGCCGCCATTACTAGTAAAAATACAAAATAAAAAAAAAATCCCAGTATCTATACCGCCATTTGTAAACGCTATAATTTTCACATAAACCAATTCATTTACACGCATTGGGATTTTTTTTTAGCAAAGACATGGAACAGAATACATTTTGGCCTAAATTTTTGACGACGTTAAATTGTTTACATTATTTTACTGGACATGTTTAAAGGCAAAAAGTAAAAAAAAAAATTCTCAAAATTTTCAGGCTTTTTCAGCGCAAAAAATAAAAACCGCACAGGCGATCAAATACCACCCAAAGAAAGCTCAATTCGTGGCAAAAAAAGGACCCAAATTTAATTTGGGTGCAGCGTTGCACGACTGCGCAATTGTCAGTTAAAATAACGCAGCACTGTAACGTGAAAATGGCCTGGTCAGGAGGGGGGGGGGGGGGGGGGAAATCCTCTGGAGGGCAAGTGCTTAATTCAAGTGCCCCCGATTATTCATTTTTACCTCATATGACCTTATAAAATTGCAACAGGTTACCTTACCTGCGTATTTGTTTACATAAAATACTACAAATAACTATAATCGCTAAAAAAAAAAAAAACGTTTGTGAACACTGCTGCCTTTTTGTGCGGACTGAATACATTTTTATTCCTGTGCATTAGAGGCAGCAGCTCATTAAAAATAATTTCATTAGCAGGTGTGCAAAATAAGTGGTCCATCTTTTTTCCGCTCTGGAATCTGTATTTAATTAAAAAATCGTTTATTGTACTACAGAGACTTTCAGAAGAAGAACACTTTCATAACCACTTTCCTGAACCTCTAAATCAAGTCATTTAAACCAGGTAATTACTTTCTGGTAAACAGTGAAGAGCAGATAAACAGAAAAGACCACAAATCTATTGTTCTCAAAGGAAACAGAAGAGAATGTCTATAGGTTTAGTTAAAGTGGTTGTAAAGTCACAAAGTTCTGTGTGGTGCAGCGCCCCCAGCCCTCATTCTGTGTGGTGCAGCGCCCCCAGCCCTCATTCTGTGTGGTGCAGCGCCCCCAGCCCTCATTCTGTGTGGTGCAGCGCCCCCAGCCCTCATTCTGTGTGGTGCAGCGCCCCCAGCCCTCATTCTGTGTGGTGCAGCGCCCTCAGCCCTCATTCTGTGTGGTGCAGCGCCCCCAGCCCTCATTCTGTGTGGTGCAGCGCCCCCAGCCCTCATTCTGTGTAGTGCAGCGCCCCCAGCCCTCATTCTGTGTGGTGCAGCGCCCCCAGCCCTCATTCTGTGTGGTGCAGCGCCCCCAGCCCTCATTCTGTGTGGTGCAGCGCCCTCAGCCCTCATTCTGTGTGGTGCAGCGCCCCCAGCCCTCATTCTGTGTGGTGCAGCGCCCCCAGCCCTCATTCTGTGTGGTGCAGCGCCCCCAGCCCTCATTCTGTGTGGTGCAGCGCCCCCAGCCCTCATTCTGTGTGGTGCAGCGCCCCCAGCCCTCATTCTGTGTGGTGCAGCGCCCCCAGCCCTCATTCTGTGTGGTGCAGCGCCCCCATCCCTCAATGCTGACCTGAGTCCCGCTGTGATCCAGCGATGTGCACGACAGCCTAGGCTGTCCCGGGTCTCCATCTCCTCATTGGCTGATACAGCCATTGTCTCCCGATACTGTCAATCATAGCCAGTCAGCCAATGAGGAGAGAGGGGGGCGGGGCCATGCCACAGCTCCGTGTGTGAATGGACACATGGAGCAGCTGCTCGGGAACAACCGGCTCGGGTGCCCCCATAGCAAGCTGCTTGCTTTGGGGGCATCCGACAGAAAGGAGGAGCCAGGAGAGCCAGCAGGCGACCTGAGGAGAGGATAATCTGGGCTGCTCTGTACAAAACCACTACACAGAACAGGTAAGGGCTCGTTCACACTTGGCTGTTTTACCAACACTTGCCAAACGCCCCTATAGCGCGTGCAGACTCCACCTCCGCAACATCACCGAAATCCGCACGTTCCTAACCCCAGAAACCACTAAACAGCTCATCCACTCCCTCATCATATCACGACTTGACTACTGCAACTCCCTCCTCACTGGCCTGCCTCGCCGCTGGCTATCCCCGCTTCAGTCCATCCTGAATACGGCTGCCAGACTCATTCACCTTTCCAACCGGTCCATCTCCCCCACCCCCCCTCTGCCAATCCCTCCACTGGCCTCCACTCAGTGTCCTCCACCCCCCTCTGCCAATCCCTCCACTGGCTTCCACTCAGTGTCCTCCACCCCCCTCTGCCAATCCCTCCACTGGCCTCCACTCAGTGTCCTCCACCCCCCTCTGCCAATCCCTCCACTGGCTTCCAATTGCGCAACGGATCCAATTCAAAATCCTAACACTGACGTACAAAGCCGTCCACCATACTGCCCCGAACTACATCACTGACCTAATATCCAAGTACCACCCAACACGCACACTGCGCTCCTCACAAGACCTCCTTCTCTCTAGTTCCCTGGTCTCCTCCTCCCATGCCCGCCTCCAGGACTTCTCCAGGGTGTCACCCATCCTCTGGAACTCCCTGCCCCAACCCATCAGATTATCACCTACTCTCCTCTCCTTTAGGCGCACCCTGAAAACCCACCTCTTCAGGGAAGCCTACCCCACCCCCTGCTAACTTGCCGACCTCCTCCACTCTTCCTACCACTCCATCCCCCACAGCTATCTCCTCCTGTGCCACCATCCCCTCCCTCCTAGATTGTAAGCTCCAAAGAGCAGGGCCCTCGATCCCCTCATGTATTGTATTGTTGCATTGTTTACCTGCTGGGTGGTACTTGGATATTAGGTCGGTGATGTAGTTAGGACAGTTAATAGGACAGTATAATAAATAGGTCTGAATCAGGAACATAAAAAAGGTTTTTCTTAAATAGAACACTAGAAACTTTTTTTCTGTGCTTCATATGTGTGTCCTGACGCTGCGTGAGTTGGGAGAGGCAGAGACGCAGCACCGACTCCCAATTATCTTAAAATAAATTTGCTATGACGGAATTATGGAGACTGTCGCTGGTGACCATTTCTTCTAAAAAGGTGAGTTCCCCGGCTCATTTATAGCATGTAAACTCCAGTTCACAAGTACTGACACCAGACATAGGCAGAAAGAATTTTCAGTGGATCCTTTGTTTTTCATCATAAAGGCACAAAGTTTTTGTCTGAAACTTTTTGTCATCATGGATTTTTAGCAATTTACAGTTTTTGGTATTATCCTTATGAAGGACATATTTGCATTTTTTGTAATAATTTTCTTTTTTCAGCACAATATTTCCAACAGAAGTTAGATTCACTAAGCAGCATTAGACTTAACCATGTGTCTACAAGAGGCATTTTTGTTTTTTCATTTTTATGCACTTTTATGCATTTTAGGTCTGAAAATTACAACTTAAATATTTTACAACTCCCAGAACTTTTTGTAACTGCAGAATGGTCACCTAGACCAATATTATTATTATTCTTATTATATAGGATTTATACAGCACCAACAGTCTGAGCAGCACTTTACAACATGGGGGCACACAGTACAGTTATAATACAAACTAGAAAAGCTCCAATTTCTGGGGAAATGGTGTGAAGTGTTCCACCAGTAGTCTACAAATGGAGTGGGCGGAGTAACCGAAGAAATACTAAAAAGATAATGGAATACATTTCAGCCAAGATTTATAATGAAAGATTATTTATTTGCAAAATGTTATAAGAAAAACACTTTTTTCAAAATTTTTGGACATTTTCATTTACACAGCAAAAAAAAAAAAAAATCCCAGCGGTGAATAAATACCACCAAAATAAAGCTTTATCTGTCTCAAAAAAATGATAAAAAATTCATATGGGTACAGTGTTGCATGACCGCGCAATTGTCATTCAAAGTGTGATATCGCTGAAAGCTGAAAATTGGCCTGGACTGGAAGGGGGTGAAAGTGTCCGGACTGGAAGGGGGCAAAAGTGTCCGGACTGGAACGGGGTGAAAGTATCTGGACTGGAAGGGGGTAAAAGTGTCCGGACTGGAAGGGGGTAAAAGTGTCCGGACTGGAAGGGGGGGAAAGTGTCCTTACTGGAAGGGGTTGAAAGTGTCCAGACTGGAAGGGGGGGGAAAGTGTCCGGACTGGAAGGGGGTAAAAGTGCCTGGACTGGAAGGGGGTGAAAGTGTCCAGACTGGAAGGGGGGGGGGGAAAGTGTCCGGACTGGAAGAGGGTGAAAGTGTCCGGACTGGAAGGGGGTGAAAGTGTCCGGACTGGAAGGGGGTAAAAGTGTCCGGACTGGAAGGGGGGGAAAGTGTCCGGACTGAAAGGGGGTGAAAGTGTCCGGACTGGAAGGGGGGGAAAGCGTCCGGACTGAAAGGGGGTGAAAGTGTCTGGAATGGAAGTGTCCGGGGGGGGAAAGCGTCCGGACTGGAAGGGGGGGAAAGTGTCCGGACTGGAAAGGGGGGAAAGTGTCCGGACTGGAAGGGGGGGAAAGCGTCCGGACTGAAAGGGGGTGAAAGTGTCCGGACTGAAAGGGGGGTGAAAGTGTCCGGACTGGAAGGGGGTGAAAGTGTCCGGACTGGAAGGGGGGGAAAGTGTCCGGACTGGAAGGGGGTAAAAGTGTCTAGACTGGAAGGGGGGGAAAGTGTCCGGACTGAAAGGGGGTGAAAAGTGTCCGGACTGGAAGGGGGGGAAAGTGTCCGGACTGGAAGGGGGGGAAAGTGTCTGGACTGGAAGGGGGGGAAAGTGTCCGGACTGGAAGGGGGGGAAAGTGTCCGGACTGGAAGGGGGTAAAAGTGTCCGGACTGGAAGGGGGTAAAAGTGTCCGGACTGGAAGGGGGTAAAAGTGTCCGGACTGAAAGGGGGTAAAAGTGTCTAGACTGGAAGGGGGGGAAAGTGTCCGGACTGAAAGGGGGTGAAAGTGTCCGGACTGGAAGGGGGGGAAAGTGTCCGGACTGGAAGGGGGGGAAAGTGTCCGGACTGGAAGGGGGGGAAAGTGTCCGGACTGGAAGGGGGGGAAAGTGTCCGGACTGGAAGGGGGTAAAAGTGTCCGGACTGG